ACCCTGCACTCTCACCTGAGGCTTTGGTAGCAAAGCCAATTTTCCATTCAGTAAATTCCCAGAAACCTGGACAGTCACTGACGTCAGCCACATTTCTGGATTACACAGGATGCCGGTCGACAGCTCAATAACCTGGCCGACTCCATTGAGGAGGGGACCATGCCCCCTGAGCTGGTGGAGGTCATCAGGAAGTTGTGGAAGGACAGCGGCATTCAAGCCTGCTTTGACAGAGCTGCAGAGTTCCAGCTCAATGACTCGGCATCTTAGTAAGACTCCGAGTGGGAGGTGGGATGGGATGATGTTCAGGAGAAACCTCACCCAGCTTTAAGTGCCAGGCGGTGGAAGCCGCGGACCCACCAACTAAACTTAAGGCTGTGGGGACATCTGCCAGTTCCCTCTGTTTTGCATTTCTTTACACTGCCTCCCTGCAGCCTATGAAGCTGAAGACACAAAATTCAAAAGAGCGGCTCTGCTTAGCAGCCCTTGGCCCTATCTCAAGAGGCAAACCAAAGAAAGATGGTCAGACACTAAGAGACTATCAACTTTGCAAAGCTGGTTCTGAAAAGATAAGGGATACAGCTATCAGCCCCCAACAGTATAGTATCAGGAGTGGGCATGAGCTGTAAGGCCAAACAGACCCATGTTTACCCCTCGGTCACCTCATCTTGAAATGTTACCGTTGAGTTTCTGGAGTCTTCCCTTGCGAAGGTTGTCCCTGCTAGGGCACAACATACACTACATCTCAGAGTCCTTGCTTGTGCACTTACTAGCCTTCAAAGCTCACTAGCCCCTTTTTCTGGTAGAAAAACTACATCCCAGTGAAGTCTGTTAGCGCGGCAAAGACTGCGCATAAACAGCAGAGGCTGCCCTTGGCTCCAGGTCCCTGCGACCACAGAACAGAGCTGTACAGCAGGCCACGGCGCTTTCTTGTTCTGTGTTGAGACAGGGGCTGACTGCAGCCAAGACGGCCTCAAACTCGGTCCTTCTGCCTCTGTCTCCCAAGGAATCCCTCTGAAGTTTTCCTTTATCTGTAAAGTGGGACAGGAATCTCAACGTCTTCTAAGATTTAGTGAGACTTTAAATGTGAAACTACGTGGTGCACATTAGCCATTCATGTCAATTTTCCCTCCTGCTCCATCTTGGGTCATTTCAGTTCACAGCTGCCCTGTCTACCCTTTGTGAACTTCCTCATGTTCTCAGGAAAGCGGGGCACACAGTGAAGCGTCCAGTTTAGCTGATTCACAGCCACCCTGAGCTCACTTTCCATCGCTCCGCAGCTATCACTCTGACCTAACAATTTCAATATGAATTTAAAATGCAAAGAAGAAATCATATCATAGCGAAACATTTAATAATTCCTTAGTATCTCCAAATATTAAAGTGTGTTCATATTCCCGTTTGACTCAGGGGAGAAGGCCCACACATCGCCTTGTCTTGTGTCTTCCAAGTCTCTCTCAGTTTATTTCCTCTCTTAATGGAACTTTGCACACATTTAAACAAGTTTTATTCTAGGGTCTAGAAAGGCTTAGTCAGGAGGACAGAACACTTGCCTCAGGTGGATGTGGCCCTCAGCCCTTTTCCTTCCCCTAAGCGCACAAGCATTTGTACAATCCTGGGTTCAGTGCTGTGGACTCCAGCCCTGCTTCTATTAGCGTGTGACTTAGGGGGAGACCCTGTGCCTCCTTTAGTCTGGACTGCAGACTGGAACATCACCAACACCACTCTCTTCCCTAGCTACCTGAACCAGCTGGACCGGATTACAGACCCTGACTACCTCCCTAGTGAGCAAGATGTGCTCCGATCCAGAGTCAAAACCACAGGCATTATCGAGACCAAGTTTTCTGTTAAAGATTTAAATTTCAGGTCAGCATTCGGTTCCCTGGGGGCATCTTGGGTCTCACAGTGTGTTTCTTGGCCTCTGCTGAAGTCCAATCCAGATTACTGTTCTCCTCCTGCCTCTCCTATTTCTGATTTTGCTACTAACTGGCCCCAGGCAGCCGCCTGTCAGGGTGAACACCAAAGGCCAGTGACTCACATGGTGGCCACACCCCTGCTGACAGCTGCTTCTTCCCTAGGATGTTTGACGTGGGAGGGCAGAGATCAGAGAGAAAGAAATGGATCCACTGCTTTGAGGGAGTCACCTGCATCATTTTCTGTGCGGCTCTCAGTGCCTATGACATGGTGCTGGTGGAAGATGACGAAGTGGTGAGTGCCCTTTACAGCAGTTTCGGTGACCCCGTCTCCAAATCTTGTCATTCCACTGCCCAGCTGGCTAGAACTGACAGCCTAGGCATCTCCTAGCAGACAAGTCTCTGCCTCGAGCTTATTAATAACTCCAGAAAATTCCCTTTCTGCTGCAGGTTCGAGGTTAGTACTTCAAAGCTCCAGATTTTCTGAGCATGAGTTTGGTGTGAGATTAGGAATCCAAACATTGTAGTGCGGCCAACACAAAGCTGGAGGAAGTGATGCTAAGGGGAACAGACAGATAAAATGGGCAGGGCAAGGACTTAAGATGTCTATGCCAGCTCCCTTCTCTTCAGTTTGAGAAAAAGAAGTCAAAGATGTGGAAACACTAATTTCACATAAACGTCTATTCCATGTTGGCCAGGTGCCCAACAGAAAAATAGCTGTTATCCTACCGTCACTCTCACCTCGGTCTATCCTGCTGTCACTCCAGCGTTGGTCTATCCTACCGTCACTCCCGCCTCGGTCTATCCTGCTGTCACTCCAGCGTTGGTCTATCCTACCGTCACTCCCGCCTCGGTCTATACTGCTGTCACTCCCATCTAGGTCTATCCTGTCACTCCCGCTTTGGTCTATCCTACCATCACTCCAGCTTCGGTCTATCCTGCTGTCACTCCAGCTTTGGTCTATCCTACTGTCACTCCTGCCTTGGTCTATACTGCTGTCACTCCCGCTTTGGTCTATCCTACTGTCACTCCTGCTTCGGTCTATCCTGCTCCCACTCCAGCTTTGGTTCTCCTCCCTTCTCCTTAACTGGTAGGGTTCAATGTAGCGCACTCTGCACCTTCTGGCCAAAATTTCTGACAGCGTTATTTACAGTCAAGATGGCTTCCCCATCAGTCTGAGTGTACCAGGTATGGAAGTTATCAACAGCAGAAGTGCTACCAGTGAGGAAACTACAAATCAGTTTTCCCTGACTAGATGACAAGAATGACTTCCAGTCAGCTGATGGTGTACTTCAGGTCCCCAACAGTCTGTTCCCTAACCACTCACCTGACATGGGTACTGGCTAACTCTGGACTCCGCACACATATCTCCCCAGTGCCGGCGGTATGGCACTGGGAAATCCTCCAGCCCTTACCTGTGGCACTGGGGTCAGAGAATCCACATCAGCCATGCCCCAGCTGACAGAAGCCTAGCAAAATCATCCTGGAGATATACGTAACAAAGTGCTGATTTGGGCCTGGTTTCAGCCTAACGGCAGCACTATAAATATTATCTGAACTCTGGCAGCTAAAGATCTCCACATATAGGTGTTCCTCGCCAGTTACTACACGGATACCACAGATCCATGTCCTCTCTAGCATTCATAACTACAAGGAAACTGAGACTCTGGAATGTTAATAATCTCCCTAGGATCAATTAAAATGACAGGAGGGAGATTTGACTGTTTGGTTGTACCCCACCACACTAAAAACAGATGATCTGTTCCTTTGCTTTCCCTCTATATTTGGAACACTGGCCTGTTCAGTTAGAACAGGAATAAACAGACATCCATCCCACAAGCTGATCTGCTATTTCCCACAATGTTTCCTCCCCAGAATCGCATGCATGAGTCTTTGCACCTGTTCAACAGCATCTGTAACCACAAGTTCTTTGCGGCCACCTCCATCGTCCTCTTCCTCAACAAGAAGGACCTCTTCGAGGAGAAAATTAAGAAAGTCCACCTCAGTATTTGTTTTCCAGAGTATGATGGTAGGTGCTGACTGCTGCAGACAAGAATAACGAGATGGCCTCATTCCAGAGGACAAAAGCATGTAAAGGAGTTGCCTTAGGGAAAGAATAGTTATGAGGTTCAAGTTCAGATGTTTCTGGAATAGAGCAGATACATACACCAGAGCCACCGACTGTTCTAAGGATACCGACCAAGAAGCAAAAATGGAAACACAGGGAGCTTTCCTCTGTTCCACTCAAGTGAGAAACACCTGCATGCATGACAGTCTTCACTCCTGACAGTCACCTGCATGCATGACAGTCTTCACTCCTGACACTCACCTGCATGCACGACAGTCTTCACTCCTGACACTCACCTGCATGCACGACAGAATCCTCACTCCTGACAGGCACCTGCATGCACGACAGAACCCTCACTCCAACAGCCCCTGACCACATTTGTCTAAAACAATACTCCAAGAAGCAAATTAGTCACCTAAAAATTGAGCACTACAGGCTAATTTATTCCACTTTACTAATTTTTTTAAAACCAGGGAACAACTCCTATGAGGATGCTGGAAATTATATCAAGAGCCAGTTCCTTGACCTCAACATGAGAAGAGATGTCAAAGAAATCTACAGTCACATGACCTGTGCGACAGACACACAGAATGTTAAATTTGTGTTCAATGCAGTTACAGATATTATCATCAAAGAAAACCTCAAGGACTGTGGGCTATTTTAATGCTCAGTTCCTCGGGTGCACATTCTACAAGCAGACTTAGAATCTGAGAGACTTCGTGCAGAAAATGAGTCAACACGTGCCGGGACATGACTGATAAGCCCATTCTGTTGGAGATACAGAAGGAACACTTACAAATGTTTTTCAAGTAGTGTGGCTAATACAGTTTAAAGAATGTAAGGCCAAGGAGCCTAAGACCCAGGTCCCAGTACTAGTTCTGCTAGTACTGTAGCAGAACTACAGAGTAGTAGAGTAGAAGCACTTCCATTTTTCCGAAGCAAAAGTCCCTCATCTATACAGTGAAGGTAACTTCCTTACCTACTTTGCAGGACTATCCTGAAGAGCACAAACCTAACCGAAGAGAAAGCACATGGAAGCTGCTGTGGACGGCCACAAAAAGCCCATGAAGGCTGCAACTTCCACACTTGGTTATTAAGAGTAAATTATCTCAAAGTGTAACGGCAAACCTTCTTTACATTGAGCGATAAACTATTAAAAATTAAACCTGCCCCTGGGTTTTTACTAGCAGATCAATATGCCTCGACTCAGAGACCGGGCTCACTGGATGAAAGATGTGAGCCTACTCATTTCTAAGGCACTCATTCAGAAATGATCATCTTCATTAAAAACAAATTGTCTCTCTCCCCTACCCTGGGTGCCCAACCAACTTCCTTTCTCTCTATAAATAACCGCTTAGCTGTGTAAGAGTGTGTGGCTGAACTTGAGGACACCAACATACTTCCACTGAGGATGTTACTGCTGCCACTTCTGGATCATAGAATTGGAACAAGAGAGCAATCTGATTCTCATCCCAACTGCTCCAGGCTTCCTAAGAACAAAAGCGATTGCTGAGCTTGCTTTAGGCACTGGAGATTTTTGCAGCTGGGTCCACGTGAGACCGGCTGCAAACATCTTCCCAAACAAACCAGGGATAAATTATTCCTTTGAACTCCTCTGAGGGGAAATGAAGCTTGCATTTATCTTGACAGGAGGTGGTGAAGTCATGTATAGATTTAGCATTTACAACTACTAGTGAGGAGAGCACTTGGCATCCATGGCTTAGTATATAAAAGAAAGTGTCAATTAAAATGAAAATCTGCTCCTTGCCAGAAACACCCATTCACACTTAGATGCTTCCAGCAATATTAATACTAGAAAGCCAGCCAGCATCATGGGCTTGAAACGCACCAAAGAACCAATGTGAGACCACTAAAATGACAAGTCACTTTACAGTCTGAACGAGCAAAAGAATACACACATGCACACCGCAACGTGCCAGAACTGCCAGAGGAACTACTCTAGGTATGGCTATTAATAAAACAGATAAATAATAACCAAACCCACCTGGGCAAAGCACTTGCACTAAAGGCAATGCAGGAACTACGCTGATGGCATGCCCCAGTCATCACGGACCTGTCCACTCTCCGTATACAATGATTCTAATCATGAACTCCTACAGCAGGACGAGGAAGGCTAGGGATCTCTCTTCGGAGTAACTGTTTGGTTTTTCTGTTTTTATGAGATGGGGGCTCATGGTATTACCGAAACTGCTCTTGAGTTTGAGGGTTCAAGAGATCCACCTGCCTCGCTCTGCGAAGAGCAGGATAACAGACATACACCAGCATCCCCATCTCAGAATGCTTTATTAAAAAAGATTTATCCTTATTCTACGTGGATGCATATGTTCATGAACTACTTGCATGCTAGGTGTCCACTGATGTCCAAGGAGAGCATCAATTTCTGGAACTAGAGTTACACATAGTTATGAGCCACCCTGTGGGTGCTGGGAATAGAACCCAGGTCCTCTGGAAGAACAATTGTATTTTTAAACCACTGAGCCATCACTCTGTCCCTCAGAATGCTTTACAATGCATAAAATAAAATTCAAAGGAAACAAGCAAACTAAGCAATTTTCTCTGGAGACTCTGGCACTCTGAAGCCCCAACTTTTAACAGAAACTGAGTTACAGCCAGTAGTGCTGCACAGCCTTAATTTCAGCGCTACACCCAGGAGGCAGAGGCAGGGGCATCTCTGGGAGTTCCAGGCCAGCCAGGAACATATAATGCGACTCTGTCTCAAATAGCAGAACCCAGAGCATGGTTGTCTATTCAGGCCCGAAACAATTTTACCCCGTTATTCCTTCTAAGAGAGCTGCCCCTCTGGACTGCACTGGCTTCTTTGCTTCTACCGATCTCTTTGGCTGCTAATATTCACACTCGCCCTCCAGTGTAAGAGCCAATGGAACAGGACTTCTGGCAGAGCAATGAAATTCTCAAGCCAAAACCAGCTGCATTTTAGTCTTCTCCTGTTTTCTGACAGTTTAATCTTTAACCGGCTCACAGATTCACATAATGTACCTTGCATGCACATCTCACAAAATGACTCTCTTGGCAGACACAGGAGACAGTGACTCCTGAGAGGCCCACCTCCCCAGCTGCTCTCAACTGACGTTAGGATGTGGCTACAGACACTAACACTGTGGGCCCCACTGGGTCCCATGCACCTGCTCATCCATACCTTAGAACAAAGTCAAAAGGACTTCCTGAAACTCGGCCAAGGCTCACCTCCAAGGAAAAGGGGAAACGTAGTTGCTGGTGCCATTAACCCTCGCCCCAGTTCAGCCTGTCCCCTCTGTTCCACTCTCCAGAGCTACAGAGAAATTTTTACTTTCATATAAATGGCCTGGTTCTCGATTGTTTTGTTTTTTGCTTGCTTGCTTTTTTTTAATTTTTGAAACACTGTATAGACTATGCTGGCCTCGAACTCAAAGAAACCTACCTGTCTCTGTCTCTCAGTTGTTGGGATTCAAGGTGTGAAGAATCAGGTTAAATAGACTATTTTTTATCTCAGTCATTTTGATTATGTGCATGAAAAGATTTTGTGTAAAAAAAAAACCACAAAAATGCCTAAAATCAAATCTAAGCCATTTATTCTGCTCTTTCTTTTGCCTCATTAAAAGCTGACGTTAGTCACTACTGTGAGATGTCACATTCTTTGTAAGCCAGCAGAGTGTTCTCACTAACCCAGCCCTCGTCTTCTACTGCAATCTTAGTTCTTAGAGAGCTGAATTCAACAGGAACTCAACTAAGATAAACAGGTTCCCACACTGAACTGAGCAGCACAAAAGTATAATCAAATCTGTTTATCGGCCTAAGTTTCTGGTACAGCCTTAAACGGCGCTGAGAGGCTGTGAGATACTGCCTATCACCATGATTATAGAACACTGTGACAATCTGGGAGAGGCTGCTAAAATCTCACATAAATCTGATGAGTATTTTAATACTGGGATGACAGGATGGGACAGATACTGTGTAAATCCGCTTATCCGCGGAACTTAAGAGCATGAAAAACAGAGAATGGTAGTACCAGGGCCTGGAAGAAGAGGGAACCGGGAGTTACTATTTAGCATGTAGAGCTTCCAATTAGGAGAAGAACTAAATTCTGGAGATGAATGGGGGTGATGGATATGTAATAGTGGGAATGTGCTCTTCAAATATACTTAATTATAAAACCTGGAGTTCTTGTTATGTATTCTTTCCTGCAATAAAAACAATGGAAAAACAATTAGCAATGTGCTGGACACTTTCTGTGGGTAAAGGAATGAGACACAAAAGCAGAAGCCACAGTGAAAGACACACATACTTTAAGAACACTGACGTTGTCTGAATTCCCTGCTGTTTTCAAGGCCAAACAGCACTTCAACCCCTCTCTCTGCTTGGAGATAAGTGGGAGACTGAAGTGTGCCACGGATGCCGGAGGTGCTGTGCTGGTAATGGTGGTGAAGGGGGAGGCGCTCACCTCCCACTGCCCTTTCCCCAGCACAGCCCCCAGAGCCTGACTCCACTGCTGGCCAGGGACTGCAAGCGCTAGAGCCTGGAGTGCTGCCTGCGTCACACAGGCATACAGAGACCTTCAAGGGAGCACACCAGCGGGAACAGAAAATAAGATGGCTGAATACAAAACAAAGACGTTACTCTGTTTCACAAGAAGAACAGAAATTCAGGATCAGCTCCATCCATGTCTGCCACATGCTGTCTGCACAGCATGCTGCCGTAAACAGGCGTTGTGGGACATTAGTATAACCTGATTATCATAAAGCACATTACAAAACATCTTCAAATGTTTATTTCTATCTGGTCAAAATTATAGAGTACCATACCTGGTATTTATTCAGTGCAGCTCACCTTTGGACAACACAAGAGGAACGTAAGACTGAAAGTGACCTGCTCAAAAGTTCACGGCTTAGGTAGAAGCTGCGAAAGAGCGGAACCCAATACTCCAAGTAATTCTCAGTCTCCTAAGATTTCTAAGAGGTCTCAGGCCTTTTGTCCTACATGAGCAAAGATTGAAAAAAAAGTAATTTCTAGAATTCTATCTCACAAACTTCTCAGTTACAACGAATATCGAGGTGGGCCCGGAGATAGGTAGAAGATGACATGAGTCAGATCCCACAAAACCAATTTAGCCAATGTATTCAAGTTAGCCAATTTAACACACTGCAATAATGCATCACTAATTATGTATTACTTCTGCCACCTTGTGATCCCCATAAATGCATATTTATCTGTTATTACACACAGTCATTTGTTACAGTTTGGCTTTTTAAGACAGGGCTTCTCTGTGTAGTCCTGGAACTCGCATTGTAGACCAGGCTGGCCTTTGATCTGCCTGCTTCTGTTTCCCTGAGTGCTGCTGGGATTAAGGGTGTACGCCACCACTGCCCGGCCTTGTCACGAGATTTTTTTAAACATTTTACTGCATAAATAAATACTATAAATAAATGATGTGGAAATAAATGTTTGGGTGCCCCAAGTCTCTTGCAATTCTGCATAAAAATTAAATACTCTGCATCTGAGCTGTAGAAATGGTTTGACCCAGCAGCCCTCACACCAACTGTCTGTACGAAAGGCACTTTTAAGGCATGTGAGAAAATAAATTTAAAAATGTTAAGACATTTTTTTCCGTGTATGAGTGTTTTGCCTGTATCTATATACATGCTTGACCACTTGTACCTGGTGCCCACAGAACACGTCACAGTCCCAGGGACTGGAGTTATCAATGGTGGTGAGCTGTCATGTGGGTGCTGGGAACTGAAACCAAATCCTCGGGAAAAGCAGCCAGTGCTCTTAACTACTGAGATAATCCCTATTCACCCAGAAATATTTCTAAATTACTGACAGAAACCCTGTCATTCACCAGTGACTTCGCGATTATGCATGAATGGTTAAAAAGTCTATGTGTATGTATAACTATATGAGAATTTTTAAAAGAAACTTTTTAAATTGGTCCACTTGTCCTATGATTTTGGTAGCTTTTAAACAGTAACAACCCATCAGTTAAGTAATACAGTGAGCTAGAGCTGTACAATTTAGAATTCAAATTATCTAAGAGGAAAATATTATGTGAAGCTCCAGTGTCAGACACCTGTAGTAGTTTCGGGAATTTCATGGCAGGTGTAGTCTATTACAAACCTGAACTGATTAGGTAA